TCGGTGAGCCACGTCTTGAAGGGCATGTTTGTTTGCGTCGCTGATGCAAGCTTGCTATAGAAATTCGTCGCAAATTCAAGAGAAAATGACGATTATCCAGGTATGTACTCAAAAGGTCAATGGGACGGACGCGACGTGCCAGTTAGTTGTAACCTGTTCAGTCGTCAAATCCTTCGGAAGGCTCTAGCTCACTTTGAGAGTCCCAACTCTGCAAATTGTAAACTTCCTCGAAGGTCGTGGCAAGCCCAACGCAACGGAGCCGTGAGCGTGGGGAGGAGCCTCCTCATAATACTGTCCACATACAGAGGAAGGACCTGACCTCCTCATTGAAACTGGTCGACGAGATGGAGCCTCCCACTTTGATCTTACTTATGTACCTCGGTTCCTCGGCATGAACGGTTCACATACAGCATTTCCCGGACCTGACGAGGCTAACCACTTGTTACTGTGCCCCCTATTCTTTAGGGTTGGCTACCTCGCTCGCTATTACCCTGCTTAAAGTTAAAGGCTTCCTTCCTCTCCACCAATACAGTACTTGTAGATCAATACGCTAACATTAAGCGAAGCGATTCTATTAGCCACGTCAACTTACCCCCTCAAAAATTCCAAGATACGTTGAGCGCCCCTGTCTCCACGAAGGACTCTTTATAATTTGATAAATTAAGTGATGGTTTGAAGCCCACAATGATGCAAATTGATCGGTGCTAGGTATAGCATCATAGGCTCACCAAGTCAAAGGTTGTACTTTGTAGAAGAGGAAAGGTGGAGGGTTGCGAAAAGGCAGTAAAAGTTTAAAGGTTTAAAGTGGGCTTGGCGCCTATGTACCCGCTCTTGCTGGCTTTAGCTCTATATACTTGTAGGAATATAAGGGGATACTTTGTCTCCTTCCAGGTAGACGGCGCGTGCGTCTAGGATGATAAAGATTATTAAAGTTGCGGATGGTGGAATAGTTGCAAGAGCTTTGCAAGGCTTATGAAACCTTGTTGTGGGGACGAATATAAAACACCGCCTCTTGATTTCCCCGGAGACGAGGGCTACGAGCAGCTAGTGAAGACTGTGTGATCCTGGGCGCCATTGGAAATGGACGGAACGTTGACTCAGACGACGTCGTCGGCTTCCACAAGGACCACTTCTTTCAGACGCAAGCTGGGGCTCAAGATGTCTCCCCTTCAAGCTTCTCTGCCTTCATTCTGCTCGAGGAATCCAGTCAGTCCAGCGTGCTTGGCTTTCATTAGTGCAGTTCTTTGCCAAACCCACGGATTGAATCACAGTTGTGTGGGTAGATCTCTATCTTAGCCTCAACAGCAGCAACGTTTTGAGTAGCTTTTCTCATAGCCTTGAGGATGCCATTGGACGGCCCAACGGTCTGCAGGTGTGACCTGTGCTGCGAACTAGAGTCTGAGCCTGCCGATCGTGGCGTGAATTCAGCGTTCTCGCCAGGTTTCCATCCTGCAATGGGCGGCACACTCGTTTGGCCTTGCTTGGAATGCTTGCATTACGATGTGGTCCTGGGCCAGCTTCCTTGGGTGTCTTAGGAAGAATGCGACCACAAGGCTCATAATTGTGCCCTTGTTTCTCCATACACTGTGAGATCTGACTCTAATATGCCTTGAGAAGCTGACCAGATTCATGCTGTTGAGCAGGTCTAGTCGCAAACGCTCCAGACTGTCATCATGTTTGGTGAGCGAAAATTTCCTCTCCGATATGCAGTACCTCTTTCTTGCGCTTTCAAGTCTTGTCTTGAGCGCCGGCGCCACTGGTCCTGTGCCCGTCAGCAGAACTGGCCTTGCCGACATCGAGGGATTCACCTTTTGAGATCCCTATAGTGCTCATGGCTGTTTCCGGTCTTTCTCCCCCTTCATGCTGCAGTGTTCCATGACTGTCAGACCTGGAGGTCACACAACGGCCGATACAGCTGCTCACAACCTAGCTCTGTGTCGCGCATCAGACTTCCCTTTTCTGAGCACCGTGGCCTGGTGCGTGCATACATACTGCCCGGATGATGTTCGCGCTTCTATAGTCGAGAAGTTCGGGGAAACAGAGATCACGGGAGACATCAGTATCCGCCCGAAACGGAGCTATGGCGAGGTCGTGGCGAAAATCACAGCCGCCGACGCTCGTGGCCACGGGCAAAGACACGGAATTGAATATAACCATGCTCACAACGGAAAACACCTGGAAAATCACAGGATACTTTGATATACTTCCCCGAGACCGCTCAGGAACCGTATTACAGGTAAATGAGGGAACCATTGCTGTTCGTTCTTTTTCTTTCGTCTACCACCTACTCAGGCTCATTCAAGCACGAAACAAATTGATCCTGTCCGGATTATGGACCGTCAACAGTCTTTCTATTCTCTTGACAGCCTTCGCTCGGCCGATCGTCCTAACGTGGCTGGGATACCTTCCCTTCGTGACTGGCATCCTGGACCGAGTTAAACCATGGCTTCATCAAAGCATTATCGGAACCTATCACCATCGGCCTCTCCCCTTCTCGCCAACGATTGGTCAAAACTTCTACATCGCACTCGTCCTAATGTTGAATATTATATTTCTGACAGTCGGCTATAAGTCGTTATGGTCTCGCGAGGAAATGCAATGGTACGGGGATCATTATCAAGAGCTGATGGCATTCTGGATGTGGAGCACCGGTCCTTTGGCATTTTGCCAGATGCCACTTTTATTCCTCTTCTCGAGTAGGAATAATATTCTCCTGTGGCTGACTAACTGGTCGCATTTAACTTACCCGCTGCTCCACCGATGGATAGCCCGGGCTTTTTCTCTTGCAAACTCTTCTACATTTTATACCAGGACGATGCTTCATACGAGAAAACGGTCGGGATGCCGCTATGGATCTGGGGCTGTGTTGATACAGTGGCGGCTGAGATCATCGTGCTCGCGAGCATTCTCGTCTACGTCAACGGGCATACGAGCTATTCCTCATCACACATATCGTGATGGCGGTTACCTGCTTGGTGGGCCGCTGGTGCCACGTCCGGTACGACGATGAGGGCACATTTGGCTACGAAACTTGGCTGTATGCCACGTTCGCCGTTTGGTTCTTCGATCGACTCGCCTGAATAGCGCGCGAATCTTGAAGACGGGTGTTCGACGCGCCAGGGTGACTGGTATCAGCTCCACAGTTGCTCGCGTCGACATTCCAGGGATTCGCTGGGCTGCACCCGAGCGATGTATCTATGTGTACTTCCCGAGTCTCAGCCCCCTCCGACCGTGGGAGAGCGATCAATTTTCGATAATTCCAACAACGGTGTTCCCTGGACACAATCACGGCAATCTGGTCGAAGGAGAATCTCGCCACAGTGAGAAAAAGTCAGCGTCGCCGTTGGTTCCGGGCCCGTAATCGACGCCAAGATCTTTTCTAATCCAGCTGTGACTCTGTTCGTGCGAAAGAAGAAAGGCATGGCGCGCTTCTCCAAGAAACAAGAGGGGCTCCTCACGCTGGTAGAAGGGCCGTACCCGACAGGTCCCATGAGGACAATCTTACAGGACGACCGCTTACTACTCGTTGGAGGTGACATGGGCATCACGGGGCTCTGCCTTATCTAGGCTCTCATCTAAATGTTAAGTTGTTCTATAGCGTCAAGACTGTGGACGAAGGTCTCGTAAATTCTCGAAGCCCAGTTCCGGACAAAGTCCGTGAGCGAGAAATCAGTGTTGGCGGCTGGTTGAATATAAGCGGTCTATTCCGGGATGAGGCCGACGTCGGCTGGTCCAAGATCGCCGTCGTAGCATGTGGGCCAGCAGGACTCTGTGACGATGTCAGGGCCGTCGTGGCTCAGCTCGGCAAAGACAAGGCAATCGGCTCTAGGTTTGGGTTGGAGGTCGATGCCCTTTGATTCACATCCAGGACGGACCGATGCTCGAGGTCTTCAGCCTGATGCGTTGAAAAACAAAGCACCCGCCAGTCACCCAGCAACTGTACAACTGTGTCCATACTATGCACTCGTCGCAAGGTCATTGTGATCGGCAATGCCGGAGCTATTCAATTTCAAACACATGGTACCAGACGACATTCTCACGGTCTGTCCTGTTAAGAATTACTATAACGATGACTTGAGTATTCGGTTGCTACTGGTATGTGTGATCCTGGGGGAGACGGAGACTCATGCTTACTACATTGGATGATCGAAATTGCTCGCCAGCTCGCCAGGATCAGGCACAGAACCAATGAAGCGCTTGGACCAGACGTTGAGATGACTGGCCCTGCTGGTCTCTGGTCTGGGGCGTTGAACTCAGCCATAAACTTAGAAACCATTATTTGGAAATGAACACCAAACTTATACTAGATCCCATCGATCTACTAGGGACGAGACTATCCAGATTAAAGCCATGTCTCAAGCATGTATGAGACGAGAGTCGGATGTAGCTTCTCTCCCTCTCGAACCCTCTCACCCTCCTAATCTCTCGATAAAGACAAGAACATGCCAAGTCTTCCGAATCAAGTCAAATTAAATCGGCATCTGGCTTTAAATGGACATGACGCGTCAGCTTTTGGCACACTCTTGGTGTCGAATCTTGGCTTGTGTTGGGGTGGGTCAGGGGAAGGGGGTAGGTTTCTCGAGAGGACTGAGAGAACTGAGCGTCGCGTCGCATCTCGGACAAAGGAGCTTGTAGACGGTTGAGAGGGCCGGGTAAAAGTCAAGATTGAGTAAAAGGGTAAGTGCGTGAGGGCGAGTGAAGGGTGCAAAAAGTGGGGGAGCAAGACACGCTCGCGTGGTAATACATATATGCATATAAAGATAGGGATGAATGGATTGATCGAGGATGGAGTGATGGAATAGTCCTCCTCCTCCTCCTCCTCCTCATCAAAAAATAGCACATCACGCACCTCCAGCTAGCCATACTAGCCCGTTCCCAATCCGTGTCCCAAGCCCAATGCCACGGCCTCGTAGCGTTCATATCGGTGTGATGACTTTTGTTTTTGCGGGAGGTCTTCATTATCCCTAAAAAACACACACGCCCAGAAAAACACAAGGGCTTCACATCAGCCCTCCGTACGGATCATCCTGGCGCTCAAAATACGCGCGCTTCGTACCTTCGCCTGATGTCCACCTGTGCCGCGGCGCGTACGACGTCGGCGACGGCGAGATGCGCAGACCCAGAAACTTGTACGACTTGGCCAGCACGTCGGTTGGACTTTTTGACGATTTGGGTTTGGAGGAGTGGCGGGATTTCGTCCCCGACCCTCTCCTCTCTGCATCTGATGCAGCAACAGCGGCAGCAGCGGGTGGAGACGGTGTTTGCGATGGCGTATAAGGCGGGGTGGTCTGCTGTTGGTGGCGCTCAAACATGGTTTTGACCTGCTCCATGCTCCTCACGTGGCTCGCGTAGTTCAGTTCCAGGACTTCGCGCTCCCGCTGGTGGCCTTGCTCGATCTGCGAAAGATACTCCTTGACCGCCTCTCCGGCGAACGCGAGGACAGAATCGACATCGAAGTTCTGTGCCGGCTCGAGGATGCCCGCGCCTACGAGCATGTCGAGCGCAGCGAGCAGCCAGTCCTCCTCCGGCCCGTAGGTTGGTGTTCGGTAGAGCAAGGTGGAGACCTTTGACGCGAGTTTGGCGACAGGTAGATGATGCGTGCTCAGAAGGATCCGCAGAGACAGACGGAACGGTTCGTTAGGGATGTCTGACCTTATGTTTGTCGTTGTCGCCCGTGGGGTCTGTGCTGCAGCATCATCCGCATCTGATGACGAGCCCGTATGCTCGTTCGAGTCTCCTTTGGCTTTGACGGGAACAGGGAACACCTGCTGGCGGAGCTGGTGATTTTGCATGTCAAAGAGGGCCGTTTCAGGCGGCGGAGCGCTGTCGCTGTTCGTCTTTGACAGGAGCCGTTGAGTCGAGAAGAAAGACTTGGCTTTCGGTCTCGGTGCCGGTGACGCTTGTGTCGCATGTTGCTGCCGTGCTTCGGTTGTTGGTGTAAGCAGGATTGCCCAGTGGATGGCGTTGATCCCTTCTTCGGCTGACCGCGAAGGCGAGAAGCCTAGCACTGAGATTTGCGACATTTTCTTCGTCTTCTTCTTGTTGTCCTGAGAAAGTGAGAAAAGCTCCCTCTTTCCGTCCTTGACGGATTCGACCCCGGAAAAGAAAAACAAACACCCAGATCCCTGCCGTGGAAAGGGAAAAAAAAAGAACAATCAACTTTAGGACCCCAGGCTCCTATATTCCTTCGCAGGCTTCAAAGAGCTTATGAAAGAGTTTGTGAAAGAGCTCGCGGGGATGATTATCAAATGTCTCTGATGATGGCTGCTGTTTGATAGTTCTGAGGACGAAGTCGGGGTGATAATCCAGCCGGTTCGGGATTGCTGATTTTGATGACTGTACGGAGTAAGGCTGCTGCCCCTGGCAGGAGTGGTAAGGATGAGTGATCTGCGGCTGATGGGCGAGGATGAGTGATACGCCAAAGTAGAGACGATGGACCCCCTTTCGGTATCCTGGATGCCCAACGGGCTATGTTATATCGTCCTTGAATGAGATGGAATTTCGGAACTGGACCGATAAGCCGGTCCTTGAATCTGAGCGTTGTTGACTTTCGAGGTGACAAAATGGTTTCGTTAAAAGCCCTTCTGCCGTCGCCGTTTGTTTGCTACGGGGCGCCTTGGATAAGTCTGCTTTTCTCAGGCCGTATTTGTGACGTAAGGGTTCGTTTAATAGTCCTCGATTTCTTTCCTGTCTAGAATTCGTTTACGCGTTGACAGGTCTTGTCGTTCCTAAGCTCACAGAATGCCTGAATCGTTGATGGCGGTGTGTGCCTACACCGGGAATAACCAATACAGTGTCAACTGACATGCAGGGACCACAAGCAGCCTAGTGCCTGTCCAGTTGGACCTTTCTCGTATGCGATAGGTATAGGCTAGAACGAAGCCAAGTAAGAGCCTCGGCTACTGTGGCATCAACAAGTAATCAAGATTGATGAACGTGAGACTCAGGAGGGACGTCAAATCACTCGTCGAACAGGATACGAAGACGGTGGTAGGATCGCGACAGTCTTGGAGTACCGGATCTGGAAGGTAAGGAGAGCTACCCAAGATGGTGGTGGGAAGGCCAGCAGAAGGGCAGGACTTGATATAGGAAAAACATCTCGTGGTTGAAATATTACCTTTGGCCGGCCTTATCCCGGATTTTCAGTGCATGTGAATCGAAGCCATGAGAGAAAGAAGGAAAGGAGATGATGACATTTGGAACAGCCATGAAATCACGCATGTTGTCTCTTCTGGCATCTGCCATGTGCAAATTTCCAAGTCGAGAGACAAGAATTCATGCGTTAATCGTTGCGGCACTTTGTCCGGGGGTTACATTTTGGCGCCCATTGACAGCCTCGTGGTTGGCTGAAGCCCCCTGGCACCTTCTAGTGCGCCTCCGATGTGTTCCATCCAATGTCAGGACGTCCTTTGCTGACTCACGACTTTCCCGAGACTTCACCGTTGAGATCCATGTCGAGCCCTCGAAGTCGCCCCATGCAGAAGATTGGACCACGCCGGAGTACAGACCGAATCTCTTTTGGCATACAAGTAGAGCTCTGTTCCACATCAGCTGCGTACGTATGGCGCATATGCAAAGCAGGCGTGTCGGACTAGCATCAGAGCACTAGAACCCACTTGCCAGCCATGTTGGACACCCTATCAAAATGCGCATTCGACGCAGCAATCTCGGGTTCTCATCATGATCTGGCGGCGAGGCTCTGCTTTAGTGACCGGTTGAAAATGGTGTGTCACGGCTAACCGCTTGAGTACTGTGTCTCCCTCTGTGAGAAGGACCAAGATGTCCTCTCCTCGTCGAGGGCGTTCTGTTCAGCCGTCTCAAAAAGGCTATTGTAGCGGACGAGAATGACGCATGTTTGGGAGAGGTGGACTGCTTCATCCTGAGATGTCTGAATTTGTACGCAGCGGTTGTTGTGGGTTGTGTACATTTGCCATAGACACGGCTGGACTTCCCGTGGTCCAATATAATCGTCAAATTGGTAGGCGGGGTCACCCGCGACCATTTGCTTCGAATTCGAGTGAATCATGCCAGTAATAGAGATTGTACTTCTGAGAACTATTTAGCAGATGGTGAGAGGTCGATCCGGTGAGCAAGGCTGAAGGAATCTCTGCCAATCCGGCAGATATCGCTTCTCCTGATAATCTCAGCGCAAGCTCACGGGCCAGCTCGTTACTCACAGGAATGGGACAATTGGTGAGGGTATCTTCATCTTTGCGATCCGGCCATCAACGATCCAAGCCTTTTCCTCCCCGGTTCTGGTGTTAGTTGGCACCCCCTTCTGCACAAGCGGACCTCCGAGCCGCCTTTGCTCGATACCTGGCGAAAGAAAACGCTCCTGCCGAAATCGCTACGGAGGTAGGTCGATGGCCGTCTGCGGTCGACGTACTCGACTCCTTCGGTCATCAGGAGTTCAGTAATCGCGTTGAAAATATTCTCACTACCCACAACAGCGAGCTTCGTTCTGCCCAGACACACAGACTCCACGTCCTGACACACAATGAACGTTTCTATGTCGACTCTCAATGAGATTTCCGCGCATTCTTCAAGGCCCAGAATATGCAATAGACAGCACGACCTGGGCTATATTCACCATTCTTTTGATGTAACGTTCGGCTTGTGTCAGTATTTACACCCCGAAAGCTTTCGTCAAGAAGCTATCCATGGCGGGGGGAAGTGGATCTGCGGTAAGACTGCTTGTTTCAAACAGCGGAAGATATGTATTGATCGTTTCTAACATCTGTGCATGCGATTCCCGAGTCTCTCCGGCAGAAACTCCATGGAATAGCATGGAAGCAGCCTTCATAATCCTCCAAGGTTCAGTTGCCAAGGCACAACTTGACGTTGGCACAATTTGGCTGTGTGTAGGTGGCAGTCAGAGAAAGATTAGGAAAGAATTGGCGAAGCCGTTTTGAGCATTGGACGAATCATGGCTTCATCCCATATTGGCACAGTGTTGTCAGTCAATCGCCTGGTGCTGAAGATGCGACACGGATATTCGGCCCCCAATCGAAGAGAGTGTGCCTTTCATCACCAGCAACACGTCCCACCAATGGGTGTCTTCGTCAGGAGGGATGGTCCGCAGTACAACATTCACATCCCCGTCGATGAGGGGTATCTCAGAGGGTGGAAGTATTTGTCTAACGCCGAAGGATGGCAAAGCATGCCTGCCTCCAGAGCGTTCGCTCCCCATTCAATGATCACTTGAAGTTCGCGGTACCCAAAGCGGATTTCTCTCTCCACGTTGCCGACAACACCAACAGAAAGGCCGCGAATATAATGTGTCTCATCTGAGAGTTGAACTTGAATCGTGTCCAGGAGGCGCTGGGCATGGGGGAGGAAATCCATAGTGGCTTCCATGATGGGGGTGTGGAACGCTGCAGCCTAGGAATTGATGGTTGCCAAGGTCTTTGAAATACCATCGTAACCCGGGTCCGAGCCAGTATCCGGAACCCCTTTCCCGTATCCTCGAATGAAACCAAGGTGTAATATCTGCGCGAGAGCAGCTCTGTTGTGCATGAAGCAGAGGAAAGGACTGTTGGATGGCTGTCGAAAGGTAATCGGAGGACTGCAGCGCACGGATCATCGTCCGGGCTGGGCCACTTTGGAAAACGACCTTGCTTCCTTCTCTTAACGGGGTGATCTTGTTGACATTGACTGCTCCCCAAAAGCCATGCTCGATGGCTGGATCAATTCTGCCTCGCCCAAAGACGGCGGCCAACTCCTTTTCGACGAAAGGATCTGACCCGGACTTGTGGAACGCCTGAATGGCTCGTTGGGCGGAATCGCTCAGGTGGGCAGCTGCATGGTTCACGACAAGGTTGATTGGTATGATGTTGGAGACCTCCAGGGCCAATCGAACACCCAAGCCGAAATCAGGAACCATTGTCCCGAGGACCTGTCGTCGTAGAACGACTTGAGGCGTGAACAAGCAAAAGGCGTGGTGGCTTGGTCGAGCTTATGGTTGCGTTGGAAAGGACCTGGAAAATGATAGCGATGGTCAGTGCAATGAGACTGTAATACGGCGAGGAAAGCAGGTCTAATCCTCCACAGGAGGACAAAGGACGACGCCCGCACGACCAAACCATGAGCTTTGCCTTGCCAGTGTTCATCAAGCATTTGTTGACCACTCTCAACGCCCTGTCTTCAACATCCAGCATGGGAGGCTGTGCCCGGCAATGCGCCATAGCTCTTCCCGGAATTCAATGGCAGACAATGGCTTCAATAAACACCCGTTGCCTCGCTCATCGTATCATCCAAATTCCAGCCATCTTCAGTTAGCATTACATGGAGCCGGTGAAGCTCACTGAGCTGGAACTGGTCCATGACCTCGTGGTGAATGCCCAATACCATATGTGAGACGAGGGGAAAGCCTCTCACTGTATGAGAACACGGCAGACAATCATGGAACCCGAGCAGATACTTCACTCTGTCACGGGAGGCTGCATCATGACGTGAGGCAAATGGAGGGAAGCCGATGGAGTTACCATGCCTGTTTCGAGAAGCCAAAGCTTTGATAGAAGGGTATCATTTGGAACATAGCTGGACCTTGTCATATCGGAGTGTCAGTTGTTGTACAACGAAGGTGATAACTGCAGTGTTATTACACGAGAATGATGGGCTTTTGAGAACATTCATGTGCACAGCTGGCAAGGCAGAATGCCCCCATTGCCTTGTTCTAACGCCCAGCTGTCAGTTGTAGCATCATAATCAGCGAACTCAACCACAAGTAGCTCGAGAGGAATCGCTCTTTGCCATCCATTGAAACATTTGCCGCGAGTCTTTCCGCAGCCATTGGTTGAAGGGGTCCAAAACATCTTTCCCTTCACACAGTCGAAGGATAATTTCCTCCCCGCTTCCTGTTGAAAGCACGCTGGTCTTTGAGCCACCGTCGGTAGCCGGCCACACTTCCCACCTTCTCCCCATAGAAATCAGGTACCGGGTTGTTGGTGCTTGCACCACTTGGGTTGACTCTGTGCTTTTTAATTCTTTCAAAAAATTCCCGCTCTTTTTTGTTGAATTCTGGCAGCCGACTTCGGTGCAGTAGCCTCCAAAGAGTGTTTCCAAAGGCGGGGCCGATCAACCAGCCAAAGAAGGTGGCCCCGAATGTGGCAATTCCGATACCGATGACGGGATCAGTAGGGATGATTTTCGTGATGTTATCAGCAAAGGCTGGGATTTCAGAGAACGCGACCAATGCACCAGCCGTAGAAGCAAAGGACGTAATGATGGAAGAAGTGAGGGCATATCGGCGCCGTACGGTTCGAAGACGGAAGAAAGTATTCCAATCTAGAGCGGTGGAGGAGGACGAGGAGGACGACGAGAGAGGTGAAGAGGGTGTGGAGGTGGCTGCACTTGCGGATGTCGATGCCTTTCTCGTCCGACAGAGAGAGGGGGTGAAGAATGAAGAAGGCGTCGTGGTTGTGGACGGCGGGTTCGCAGCCAGAGGTGTGAATTTCGAAGCTGAGACTCGGTGATGGCTCCGCGCAACCAGAGCTACCGAAGAAGCTTCGCGTCGTGATGTCGGCAAGACATTTTTGGTCGGGGCCAAGATGGTACGAGTCTGGATGAGCTGTAGACCCAGCCTTGCAGTCCTGGTGGACATTCTGAGTCGGATTCTAGCTGATTGCTGATGGCGAGAGAATTGAACAAAAGTTTTTTGGACCCTAAAGGTGATGCCGAAGGTGTCTCAGTCCAGTCTACCAGATCGAAACGCCGGAGAAGACTGGTAAAGATCCGGTGCGTTTACAAGATGCGGCCAATGGAAGGGATCGATAGTAGCTCTTCACCAATCGAGGATGAAATTCCGAGAACATGCAGCCACTTTGTGATTATTTGGAGTTTGGAGTCGTAGCTGATCTGAGGGCCGACCGCAGCTTTGGGGGTGGTGGTGTGGTGGTACGGTAAAGGCAGCAAGCAGAACACGTGCAGAATGGAGCAGCCCCCCAAAAGTCAAAAGTCCCTCACTAAAAGTCCGTTGAACTGGTCGCGCTACGGGCACCTCGGGCGCTCCTCTGGCGCCCCTAGTTAACCAAGATAATGGCATCTTCTTGTTCAGGTGCAGCCCAGTCTTACCCAGTCTTAGCTGGAGTTATGCCCATTAGCCCTTGCTCGCATCGTCATCCGCAAGTTTCAAAGTCAGCACAACCCCCGTCTTTGACGCTGTGGCCGTGGCCGTGGCCCGTGCATCTGCAGGACGGAGGACTCAGTTCAGCTCGGGTAAAGATGGACCCTTTGGAAGTCTTCGAGAGCTGCTTCGAGATGTGGTCTAGCCTTGAACGTCTCCGGATGCCAACGCCCGGCTCACCTTGTCCACACCTTGTACACCATCGCACTATCCACCATCCACCATCCACCATCCGCCATCCGCCATCCACCCCAGCCGAAGAGAATGGCTAGGGCCTGACACGCCCATGGCCCTCGCCTGGGCCGCCTGGAAAAGGCTCATCACTGCTCCTCTTTTGGTTTAACCTTCCACAGTCCAATAAACCTATCAGTGTTGATACTGTCCATCCCCTTTCTTATCCCAAGGACCGAGTACCTTCGAGTTGAAGGCTGTATGGTCATGGCACGCTCTCCGCCGTATGCTGCCCGCCTATGCCGCTTTCGCACTTGAACCTTGGACGCCCAGTGCCAGCATCTCGCCGGTCCAAAGTCTGTCCCGCGTCGGCGCTCCTCGAGTTTAACTAGCCCTCTCGATTCCTTCCACAAACTTATCTACTCCCTGTTGAGAATGTCTCTGAGATGACCATTCCGTCCCACTCCAAGCCCGATTTCATCACGAAACAGACGCTGATGTCGCTGTCCTACGACCATCATCGGTGACAAGTCTCCGCAGACCGACGCCATGCCGCGCCCAAAGAAACCCGACCAGGACGGAAAAGAGGTCAAGAAGCGCTCGAGGAATGGTTGCTGGTTGGTTCATACCTCTTCAAAGTGGCGAGCTCAATCACTCATGTTTCTTTCGGCAGGCCCTGCAAGTCGAGGAAGGTGAAGTGGTACGTCAATCTTCCCGCTCCGCACGTGAATCGCCTGGCTGGATGCTGACAATGATTGTGCCAGTGGAGAAGAGAAGCCGACCTGCGCCAACTGCCAGCGACAAGGCGAAACCTGCGATTACAGTATTCGATTGAACTGGGATGGGCGAAATAAAAAGAAAGAGGAAGGAAACGCAAAACCCGGCGCGCAGATTCTGTCGTTTGGCACTCCTCAACCCTCGAATGGATACGCCAACGGCAGTCTCGATCAGAGTCCCAACGTCAACGACCAGATCTTAGCCCCCCCCGTCACTATTCAGGCTCCTGAGTATCCAATCGATCAGCCCATCGCAGAATCCGGGTTGCCTCCTATCAACCATTTCTCCAACAATCTCTCTGTTCCGGCGACGACCGATTTCAACCCTGCGATCCTTCCTCCGCCGCCGATGCTGAGAACTCCCCAGTGGGGGGACAGCGCCAATGTGAATTCTCACTCCGTTCCCGACCCTCCTCTCATCCCGCCCTCCGTACGACATCCGCTGTCTCTGCCACCCTATCCCTCTCCGTCAGAGTCTGGGTTTGGCAGTCCGAACCTCGCCAACGGAATGAACAATTTCAACGGCTATTCCATGCAGATGCCTCCGCCTATGCACACATCCAATCCAATGACTTATCAAGAATCCATCAACTCGCCCTACAACCCTGCCAAGAGGATGAAACTGAGTCCGAGGACAGACAGTTTTGGGAGGACAGCCCCCAACTACCAGCGAGCAGGATCCTATGGTCCAAATGACACTGACGAGGTCGGCCCGAGAGTCCAGTTCAATCCCCACACGCCTACTTTCTTCCCTTCCTATCTCAGTAATCCTTTGACACCAGCAACCTCGTCCACGTCTCAGACACAAGACAACGAGGACCGACGCATCTCCGTTAGCTCCCTGCTCTCTGAAGATCCGGAACCAGAAGATCGCAGAGACTCTAAGCAGGACGATCAGAATGGGGCAGGCGATGAGCAGATCCCACGACGGGGCTCTTTACACCAGCGGATGATATCATACTCAGAAACGGAGACATACGGTCAAGATCGGGGGAATGTCGATCTTGACATACCCCGCAACAACGATACCATGGCCATTTCGGGCATGTCTCCATCAGAACATAGCGACTTCGAGTCTTGGTTGAATGATACGGATCTGGGCGTGCCTGAGTTTGGCTTCGGTCTGGTCAGCCGAGAGACCGTGTTTGCAAGTGGAGGGTACTATGCCTCACCTGTGCCCATCAAGATTCCTCGAAAACTGGGACAACTGCCTCGCACTCTGTCGGAGAATCCAATGAACTTGCTATACTTCCATCACTTCCTCAACCATACGGCCAGAATCCTCGTCCCCCACGATTGTCCGGAAAACCCATTTAAAACGATCCTGCCAAAAAGTATGTCTACAAGATCTCTGCTTTATAAATGGATTCATCTTCTGACTTGACATAGTGGCCGTTGATAACCCCAATCTACTGAATCTGATGCTGGCTTATTCAGCGTGCCACCGAGCCAGGCTTTTAAACCACCCCGAACCTGCAAACCGCATAGCGCACTGGGTCCGGGATGTCTTCCCTTCACTGCGGCAGACTCTAGATAATGTGTCGAATACCGAGGTATCGAACGCGAATTTGGCGACAGCTATCATGCTAGCCTCGTTAGAAATCATCTCACCGTCAAGTTTTGGAGTGTCGATACCATGGCAGAATCATCTCAGCATCGCTCGAAGTATTATCCGTGCCCGAGCAGGTCCTCATTCCATTTCGCGAAAAGACCCTGTGATGTACTTCTTGACGAGATGGCTGGCATATCTCGACGTGATGGGCTCACTATCCGGGAGGCGCAATGAGGAGCCCCTGTTTGCAGGCAATTATTGGTCCAGCTCGCATGAGGATAGCACGTCGGCCAAAGAGTTGTCCTTGACCGACGACGACGGCGATGATGAAGATGACTATACTATCGACTGTCTTCTCGGGTTCACCACACGATGTGTGCAAATCCTGGCTCAGGTTGCTCTGTTGGCGAGGGAATGTGAACAGGCAGGCAGGATTGATCCCGACACAGGGCAGATCAATGAAGAATGGAAACCTTCTATGAGCATGCTCAAGAGGGCCGAGAAGCTGCGCCAAGACCTCGAAAGAGCTCGCAACCATGAACAGATCCAGTGCGCCCACCACAGTCCGCAGGTCACCAAAGCATCTCTATGTGGAACCCACGGCACGCGTCGCAATTCGGCTTATGCAGAAATGTCGGAAAAGGATGTGGAAGAATCCCTAGCGACAAACTCGGCCTTCCACTGGGCTGGGTTGGTCCACCTCTTACGACGAATTCACAATTTACCTCGTGGGGACCCCGAGGTGCAGACGGCCGTGCATGAAATCGTCAAGATCCTACAGCAGATCCGAGCCGGCGGAAGCGCTGAAGCATGCTTGCTCTTTCCCATGTTCACCGCCGGAGTCGAGGCAGAAGATGCCTTGGATCGAGCAGAAGTACTGAGCCGAATCAAAGGAGCCGAAGGTCTCGGCATGTGTCAGGTCAGTCGGGCTCGACGGATTATGGAAGAAGTTTGGAGAACAGGGGTCAGCTGGGAATGCTTGGTCACCGGCGAGTTCTTTGGATGACCACCTGCCTGGGACATGAATCTTTTGCAGAGACAAGGAAGAGGTCAATCCGCTTTCTTTTCCCTGGTTACGGTCACGAGACACTTTTCTTGAGCGTTGGAGTTGCGAGCGTCGTCTAAATACCCAGATTGTCATTATATTGCACTGATGTCTGGTACATGTCACGGTGGCACATCTGATGTAAACTTTTGATTCTTCCACCTGCCACATTGAAGTTATTATGAGAATAGAGGTGTTTATGCCCATGCACTCCGTGCCTCGTACTTGTACGTCCTCCGTGACGTCGTAAGGCTGCGAGGCTGATTCGGGCCCTACAATACTGACCACTCACCTGATGCGGGCCCGACCTTGATTTATTACGTCAGCTTTCGCTTCGCTTTCCAACTCCGCCAATTCTCTTCTTTCCTTCTTTCTCTCTCCTTCTATCTTACCTCAGTTTGTATGCGTTAATACAGATCAGACGCCTTGTGTACAGCCGTAGGATATCTCCCCACCGGACGCTCATTCCCTCCTTTTCTTTCATTTCTAGCCTCTTAAATTTAGCCCTCTTTTTTAGGCGGCAACTGGGCGGGATCACAAACGTCTACAACGTCGCCCCCCCTTTGCCCAGACCTCTGATATCTCCCCAAAGCCGTCGAAGCAAACCATGGCGTCTCACCCACGCTCTCAGACACCTGCAATGGATAGCCTCATCCAACGCCATCCCCTCCAAAAACTACATTCTCCCTCGCGAGGTGCCTCGGCATTGCTTCACTCAGTCGGCCTCGCAAGTTTCGCATACAGCTTCAATTGGCTCAACACGCACCCCAACCATATCAACAGTGCCTATGGCTGGCATTTCCAGTACCTCACCATCATCGGCCTGACCCTCGCCACCATCACATTCATTTTAGGCCTGTTGGCTGATCTGACTTTGTCACCGAGATTATTTGCCGCCAAGAACGTCTCGAGTATGTGTTCAGCTCCAATGGAG